TAATATTTGGTTTTAATTCGGCTTTTATCGGGGTTTATTTTTTGTATTTCTGTATTTTTGTATTTTGCATTTTTTGTATTGTGTGTATATTATTTGTTTTTAATATGCTGTGAACCGCCCTGAGTCCTATGGGAGAAGGGCGGTATACAAATTAAATTATCTATCTATCTAAATTATCTATCTTAAGACCTTCCGATAAGCCAATGGGGAAGCCAGATTCACATAACAGCCATGTTACTAACTTAAGAACTGCAGCAATCCACTTAACAACTGTGGCAAGAAAGGTTGCAATATGGGGCAAAACTCACTTAACAAATGTCTCACTTAGCAACAGAATTTTTGGGCTGTTACGGTCATAAGGTGAGGAGTAGCTGTACATCCTTTTTTTTAAAGATTGATTTTTCAAAGTTTAGTTTTTGTCTCTCATTATGGGACAGAATCGTACAGAAAAATAAAAAATCAGTGCTTTGAAATTGAACAATTCAAGCATATAAGTATGTTTAGAAATCTTCCTGTATTCAGTGGTGATTCTTTCCACTTTACAATTGTACAAGACTTTATTTAGGCAAACATTATCCATTTTTTCAAATGCCTGACGAAATATTACCCTATTGGTTAAGAAAGGAAAGAGATGGGGACAAAGGTTAATGAGTGTAAGGAAAACAAGTAGAACAAGATAGCCAACATACCCTGAATTCTTTCTCATTCCTTTACACAAAGGCACAGGGCTGTTAAGAGGAGAAAAATGTTCCCCTGCTGTACCAGTTTTAGGGGAGAACAGCACTCTCCCAGCTCTGCTGAAGGACTTTTTTTTTCAGTTCAGTGAGTTAAATGATGCTCATAGGAGATTCTCCTTTATTTCAGCACTTCCTCCTGCTGTGCTGAGAAATACAATGAGGGAGCAGTTGTAGGGAAAACTTCAGAGGTCACCCCAAAAGCTTTTGCAGTCTGGAGGTGGCCTTGGGCAACTCAATTTGTGCACCTCGATTTAAACTGCTCGGCTACCCTTTGCAAACAAAATATAATTCTAGTATCAGACGCTGCCTGGAGTCACTGCTTTGAGATGGGTAGAAGGAAGGAAGGAAGGAAGGAAGGAAGGAAGGAAGGGAGGGAGGGAGGGAGGGAGGGAGAGGGAAAGGAGGAGGGAGAGAGGAAGGAAGGAAAGGAGAGAGGGAGGGAGAGGGAAGGAAGGAGAGGGAGGAAGGGAGGGAGAGGGAGGAAAGAAAGAAAGAAAAAGGAAGGAAGAAAGAAAGAAAGAAAAGAAAGAAAGAAAGAAAGAAAGAAAGAAAAAGGAAGGAAGGAAGGAAGGAAGGAAGGAAGGAAGAAAGAAAGAAAGAAAGAAAGAAAGAAAGAAAGAAAGAAAGAAAGAAAGAAAGAAAGAAAAAGAAAGAAAGAAAAAGAAAGGAGTGAGGAAGGGAGGGACATGCTTGGAGCTCTTTCCTGCCATCCCATCCCAGTTTCCTGCTGATCGCGCTACTCCCTCCATTGGTCTCTACAGCCTGCCTTAGCCTTTGGATTGCTCCCTGCTACAACTCCAGTTTTGCTATATCTTTTCCTCGTTCTCTCTTTGGTTCTTCTTCCCCATGGACCTGCAGCCATTTCTAAGTTTTCCTCCCAACGAATGGAACTAAGCATAAAGCAGGAGGGCCTGGCTTGCGACTGCTGCCCTATTTACTTCTAATTGTTCTGGGTCCCCAACAACCCAAAGTGAAGGAGAGGCCTGAAAGATCATCGCACATTCAAATCAATCACCCCTGCTCAAGACGACTTCCTTAGGGCTAGAGCAGGGGTAGGCAACCTTGGCTCTTTTATGACTCGTGGACTTCAACTCCCAGAATTCCTGAGCCAGCCACGCTGAGGGGAAAGGGAGAGGGTTCCAAGCTGAGCCATGCAGGCTCAGGAATTCTGGGAGTTGAAGTCCACGAGTCATAAAAGAGCCAAGGCTAGAGGATCAGAGCCTGGGCTAGAGGATCAGAGTGATTGCTAACAAAGCTTCTTTTAGGAACATTTCTCTGGCCTCTGGGTGCCTGAATACTGTTCCTCCAACGATTATCCTACTTCAGAGCCATTAAGACTTTAAGTGAAGATGCTGGTTAAGGCAGAAGGAGAAGAAGGCAACCAGCAGCCATATGGATGCGTTCAGTGACAGAGGCGGTAGCCCACTCTTGGAAGCCGTGAAGAAACCATGTTAGGGACAAACCAACAGGGAAAAAAACCTGTCTACAGGTAGTCCTTGCCTTACGACCACAAACTGAGCCCCAAAATTTCTGTTGCTAAGCGAGACATTTGTCCAGTGTGTTTTGCCCCATTTTACGCCCTTTCTTGCCACGGTTGTTAAGTGGATCACTGCAGTTGTTCAGTTAGTAACAGGGATGTTCAGTGAATCTGGCTCCCCCATTGACTTTGCTCGTCAGAAGCTGGCAAAAGGGGATCGCATGATCCTGGCCCTGATCCTGACACTGCAACAACCACCGTTAACACGAACCAGTTGCCAAGCATCTGAATTTCGATCGCGTGACCATGAGGACGCTCGCAATGGTCATTAGTATGAAAAATGGTCATTAAGTCTCTTTTTTTCAGTCCCACTGTAACTCTGAACAGTCACTAAATGAACTGTTGTATGTCTATCTTGATATGTTTGCTAAGCGCCAACACCGATTTCATAGCACACAATCAATTCTCCATTTTGATCTTTCAGTTATACTTCATTTCAGATACGTGAAAATATTTATTAGAAAGCTGAGCGGTGGGGGGGGGGAGCAATTAGGATTGGACAGGAGACTTGCAAGGCCTCTTGGCATTTTTAACTACCTCTGGGATTTCTGCTCTGCTGTGAATAACAGAATTGGACGGGACCTTGGAGGTCATCTAGTCCAACCCCTTGCTCAAGCAGAAGGCCCTATCTATGCCATTTCTGACAAGTGGCTGTCCAGTCTGTTCTTGAAAGCCTTCAGTGATGGATCACCCACAACTTCTGAAGGCAAGCTGTTCGGAAGCTGTGACTACATATCTGCTCTCCTCCGAGTGAATGCAAGGAAGAACGCTTTCCAAAACTTTCTTATTTAGCAGCGCCATTACGAATAATTACATTTTTAAAAAACTAAAAGTGGCAGCAGTTGGATTACTGTGGTGGCTCAGTGGCTAGAATGCTGTATTGCAGTACTGCTGCCTGCCGATTGCCAGCAGTTTGACAGTTCGAGTCTCACTGGCTCAAGGTTGACTCAGCCTTCCATCCTTCCGAGGTCGGTAAAATGAGGACCCAGATTGTTGGGGGCAATGTGCTGGCTCTGTAAACCCCCTAGAGAGGGCCGTAAAGTACTATGAAGCGGTATATAAGTCTAAGTGCTATTGCTATTGATCTGTATCTGGAAGCTCAGAAGCTTCTTTTTAGCTGCAGGCAGAGGCCGTCCAAAATCACCCCAGAAAGCATTTACGTAAATAAATATATTCTGCCTCTTTAATACTACTGAGATAACTACACGGACATGTCCAGAAGGTGACCAAAACATGATCCCAACTCAAAACAGACTTCACTGGTTAATAAAATATTTGAAGAAAAAAAAACCCTAACATAATAAACCAGACAAGTGCATCCGGGAGATGTTGAGCACACCAGGATGTTTACAAGACAGAAGTCAGGAGAATTGATTTGCTTAACCATGATTTACTGAAAAAATCCCACAAAGCGAAAAGCAAGTAAACCGCAGCACAATGGCATCACATGTTGGGCTAAGTCAAAGACTGGGGCGGAAGAGATTCTAAGTCAAGAGCAGACCTGTGGCTTGGGGGAAAGATCAGACTCAGAAGCCACTGAGCCAATGAAACTCATGCGATGGAGGATCTCCTGCCAGTTCCCCCTCTGGCAAGCCACTGGATCCTCGTCTGTGGAGAGTGTCAGTCATCCAGATCCCAGTTGTCCCAAAGGTGCTTTTTCAGACAGCGACTTTTGCTTGAAGATGTTTCGCATCTCGTCCAAGAAGATTCTTCAGTTCTGACTGAAGGATGGAGGATATATATTCCTTGCAATCATCTGGTCGTTAGCACTCTTTCTGAGAGCCACTGAGAGGTTTGTTTGTGCCCTCAGGGTCACCTGAATAGTGCAAATGGGTGTTGAACCTTCTTGGAACTGCTGAAAGGACTGTTGTAAACAGGAGATATAGCTAGTGTCGTATCCTCTCCCTCTGTTGACAGAATGCTATACAATCTTAATGTAAATGGCCTCTTTGACCCCTCTTTCAAACCAGCAGTCTTCTAGGTCCAGACTTTGCTGTCTTCAAAAGATACGACACCACCTATCTCCTGTTTACAACACAGTCCTTTCAGGAGTTCCAAGAAGGTTCCACACCCATTTTGCACTATTCAGGTGACCCTGAGGGCACAGATAAACCTCCAAGTGGTCTCAACAACTCTCAAAATGAGTCCTAACAATCAGATGGCTGCAGGGAATATAAATCCTTCCATCTTCCATCATTCGGTCAGAACTGAAGAAGCTTCTTGGATGAGAAGCGAAACATCTTCAAGGAAAAACAAAGCCCAGTTGCCTTTAAAAAAAAGCACCTTTGGGACCACTGCCTCCTTGTTTTCTCTTTTCATGTCTCCTTGTGGTCGACAAGCCCAGCATCTTAACCTCTAGGCCATCGCGCCCCCCCCCCCAAAAAAAATTAAATAAATACATTCCAAAGTTCACCCAACATGGGAATCCGCAACTGGTATTCTCCATTCAAAGACTAGTGCATTGTTTCACAGATATTATAACATTTTGCTGCCCGTCCAAATAATCGTTAAGTTGATGTAGGACAGGGGTAGGCAATCTTGGCTCTTTTATGACTCGTGGACTTCAACTCCCAGAATTCCTGAGCCAGCACGGCTCAGCTTAGAAACCTCTCCATTTCTCCTCAGCATGGCTGGCTCAGGAATTCTGGGAGTTGAAGTCCACGAGTCATAAAAGAGCCGAGATTGCCTACCCCTGGTGTAGGAGAACCTCTAGAAGAAAAGATGAAAGACCTGTCATCCACGAGAGGAATCACCGTAAACTACTCCTCTTCTCACAGCACTGTTTCCACCACGACATACGATTTTATTCTTTTGAAAGAAGCCAATCTTTTCGAACAGAGCAACTTCCTGACTTGGAAACTCTGGTGCTCAAAACAATCTACGGAATTACAAAACCAACCTACTGGCAAGACTGAGCGTGCGCCTACCCAGCAAGTATTAGACAAAACGAAAATACGGTGACGTGCAGCCTCCTCACACCTCTCAGGTCAATCTAAGATATCCTGGAGAGCAGAGGACAGATCGGGGAATGCAAACATGTAGCCGCTCTCGAGAGTCCTCTTGGGGACCACCCGCTGCCCTTCAAGCAGCATGGTGCTTCGCTCAGAGCCAAAAACGGCTTTCACTACGAAACCCGGCAGAGGCAAGAAGGCGGGACGTTTGAGCACCGACCCCATTGCTTGGGCAAAGTCCTCGTTTGTGGTGTCAACTGCAAACGGCGAGACACCATTTAAGATGCCCCTAAGACCCTCTTTCTGCAGGGAATGGGTCACAATTCCTGCCAGGTCTACTACGTGGATCCACGGGAAATGCTGGTGTCCAGAAGCAATGGGGCCTCCCAATCCAAGGCGGAAAGGCCATATCATCTGGCTAATGGCGCCGCCATCTTTGCCCAGCACAGCACCTTAAAGCAAATAGAGATATAATTACATACAGTAGTTACAAAGTGTATTTCACATAGGCTTCCCTTACACACTGGCCTATGAGATGGTTCTCTGAAGACGCCCCAATGGAACGGGTCTCTATAAACACACCAAGCTAGCTAGAAAACTGGAGTTTAGTGACAGGGTGCGCACCAAGCAAGCTACACTGTGGCTTAATATGTATGTGACTCCAGCCACTCCAGTTATTTTGGCGATAAGAAGAAAGACATGTGCTTGGTATTGTTCCTCATCAGGGGAAACAAAGACAACAACATGATCCGTGATGGCGCAGTGTTAGAATGCAGTACTGCAGGTTACTTCTGTTGACTGCCGGCTGCCAGCAGTTCGATTCTAACCGGCTCAAGGTTCACTCGGCCTTCCATCCTTCCAAGGTCAGTAAAATGAGGACCCAAATGGTTGGGGGCAATATGCTGACTCAGTAAACCGCTTAGACCAGGCTGTAAAGCACTATGAAGTGGTATTTTAAGTCTAAGTGCTATTGCTATTTGTGACCTAAAGCCACAAGAATGAGGTGTTCACTGAATCAGAATTGAATTTTGTAGACCATGTAGTATACAAAAAGTGCCTTCCAAGCAGAAGTTTGGAACTTGTAGTCTACAAATAAATGTTCCCACATTGCGCATCCTGTCTTACCAGATCTCACTACCACTTGGCGAGTAGCTTCACTAGGAATTTTAGCTGCTTCTTCCCAAGAAGTCACCAAGCGCGAGAAGAAATCAAAGTCTCCACCTGGACTTTCTTCAGTGTATTTGGTGATGTGGCTGGGCTGGTAATATCCTGGAGGAGATATTATACAGTGATTTATTATAGAACTGTACTCTACGCAAATATTTTATAGCTCTTAAGACGACCACCCATCTTTTAGAATTGAACTTTGGAATATATCTACCAAAATATTTTGAGAAATACTTTTCCCAAAAAAAAAGCTGCAGAGATTATTACTCACTTAGTTCAAGAATACAGAAAGTAGCTCTTTTTGAGGTTTCCAAAACATATCTTGACTTAATCACTATTCAGTTAGTTTCATACCTATTCCTTTTTTAACGCAGGATTGGAAACCTTTAGCCCTCCAGATATTGATGTTCTACAATTCATAACAGCATGGAGCGTCCTTAATACAGAATATGGGACCTGGAGTTCATGAACATCTGTAGGGCCATATATACCCCTATTCTATTTTATTTAACAACCGTATAATCCCTTGCCTATGGGTGGTGCCAAGGCAATTCAAGTGTTTACTAGCCAGATGCCGTTCCTGACACCTACATAGAGTTCACTCATTGAGGCCAGAAAGAGAAATATCTACCTAATCACAACCTCCTGATTATGAGGTGAGAGCTCCACCTCTAGGCCACCTCCCCACTCCCAAGTGCTCCTGTACTATTTACTTGGCTATAAATTCCTTTGACCCACCTCACACACTGAAAGCTTGTTTGCTTAATCACGTTTTTATTGAACAAACAACTGTTGATTGGTTTTTCAACACCCTACAGCAGCGATCCCTCAGCCCGGCATGTGGGGGGGGGGGGAGAACCTGTGGGTGGCAGGAGCACGCATGTGCACATAGCTCCATTTGGATGGAGTTTCACACACGAGCAGAGGGTGCTTGCATTCCCGCATGAAGCTCCATTTGCATGAGCAACAGGCACTTGCACACGAAGCTCCACTCATGTGTGTAGAGAGCAATTGTGCTCACGTGAAAAGCTCCATTCATGTGAATGGAAATTTGCACGCTAGTGCAAGCAAAGCAATTTGTGCGAGTGGAGCGTCATGCACAGGCACTTCCCCATTTCTCACATGGCCCAGTTTTGAACAGGCCATGGCCCAGTGGTGGGCTACAGCCCGGGGATTGGGGACCCCTGTCCTACAGCCCAAATCATGACTTAAACTGTAATGGCTGTATTCACTGAACCACCATCTACTTCAAACGACTTTAGCCAAGTTTTGACATTTCTACCTCACTGGCACGCTTCACTCTCCGGTGCCATCTTTTGCAATCAATCCCCGATTAGCCCTAAACCCCAAAGGAAAAAATGCATCCATTTCAAGTAGACCCTAATACAGTGTTTTTCAACCTTGTCAACTTCAAGATGTGTGGACTTCAACTCCCAGGATTCCCCAGCCAGCCATGCTGGATGAAGAATTCTGGGAGTTGAAGTCCACACCTCTTCAATGTTGACGGGGTTGACAAACACTGCCCTAATATATTAAGGCTGCTTGTCAACATTCTTTCACTACAATCTTCGCACTGACTGGTCAGAATTATGAATATTCAACAGAACCCAGCCATAAGATCAATGGTTTTAAGGCTCTTGATGTAGACACATAATTTTATCTGTTGCTATATAAGCAAAACTGCTGCTCAATGGTTGAAAGTTCTTAACATGAATTGTCTTAAAAGATGTTTCCATCAAAGCTGAGGGACCACATTCAGTTCCCCAACCCCTTCTCCTATTACAGGTAATCCTCGACTTATAACAGTTCATTTAATGACCGTTTGAAGTTACAACGGCACTGGAAAAAGTGACTTATGAACGTTTTCGCACTTAAAAATGTTGTGGCATCCCTGTGGTCCCATGATCAAGATTCAGACACTTGGCAACTGACATATTTATGACGGTTGCACTGTCTCTGGATCATGTGTTCACCTTTTGTGACCTTCTGACAAGCAGAGTCCATGGGGAAGCCAGATTCACTTAACAACTGTGTTACTAACTTAACCAACAGCAGTGCTTCACTTAACAACCTGTGGCAAGAAAGGTGGTAAAGTGGGGCAAAACTCACTCAACAAATGTCTCCCTCAGCAATGGAAATTTTGGGCTCAGTTGTGGTCTAAGTTGAGGACTACCTGTACTTACACTCACTACTTACTTACAGTTAAAGCGACAGCAAAGTTACATGACAGCACTGTGGTTAATACCTATGCCGGTGACAAGGACCCAGGCCTGAGGTGGGTGTTCAGCATCTCTGATGGCTTTCGCCAAGGACTTTGTGGTCTCTACGCGGCTGGAAATGACCTCCTGACGGAAGGCATCATTCCACCTGCAGAAGCCCCCAAAGACATCAGTCTTTCAAAGATAGTTTTGCCCTTCCAGTAACATTGCCTATTTTCAATTACGAACAGATTACAGCCCTCTTCCCCCCAACTAGCATTTGGCATGCAGCAGCTTTGAAGCACAGCTCCTGAAGTTGCTTGCAGACCTCAGCTGTTTTGGAGGCTTTTGAAGGGTAATTCTTAGACTCTCCCTGATCTGGGTGGGTCATAAAAACTGAAGGAATGCCAGTCCCTTCAGTTAGTAGTTGAAGAGCTATAGCCCAGGGGAAAACACTTCAGGGATCCCTCCCTGAGTGCATATTCAGTCGGCCATCTTCATTGGAAGCCTATTTTCACAACCTTAAGTCTACTGAGAGTTCCAGACAGAAAAATGTGTTTCTAGCAAAACCCCTCTGATTGCCTTGCATGGCATCAAAGAACTTGCGCCTTCTATAAATCAAGAGTTTGATCTCTCTGCATAGAATTGCAGGAAGAAAGAAAGGCCTTTACTTTCCTGCAGGTAAATGACAACCCATCAAGGTTGGACAGAGATACCCTGACTGATTACAGAGGACTTTAATCCTATTACGAATCCTCTAACAGGTCAGAAGGGTTACAAAGGCAATGACGTTCAGCTTGCGAGCTGAATCTTCTTTGCCATATACAGGATCCATTTTTTTTTCCATTTCAACTAAATTAAATATTGGAAAGAAATTATGAAATGGGACTTTCGGTCCGGCATGTATTTCTGTAGGCAGGGAAGCAGAACAGATCAGGACCAAGTGTGGTGGGGTGGGAGAAGTTGGCAATCGAAAAAGAAATTTGAAAATGGCCGGATTACGTCAGGATCGGCAGATTAAAAAAATAATAATCTTCCCACAAATAAGTCTAGTGCAGAGGTCTCCAAACATGGCAACTTTAAGATTTGTGAACTTCAACTCCCAGAATTCTCCAGACAGCATGGCTGGCTGAGGAATTCTGGGAGTTGAAGTCCACAAGTCGTAAAGTTGCCATGTTTGGAGAGTCCTGCTCTAGTGCATCCTTAAGGGAGAGGCAGCTGGGCAATAGCTTAGAATATTGTTGATTGCTCCATTTTATCAACTTCCCTTTTCTCCTGGTCCTGTGGTTCGAACAGACGATAGGCATCTCAACTTGTGCAACCAAATGCAAATACAGCAAGAGAGGAGAGCAGACATGAGCAGACACAATGCATGACAAAGAATATAGATGTCTCCTAAAACTACAGCTGGTAAAGGGGTTGACAAGAATTCTAGAAGCCAGGCTCTGCGTATTTTCCTTACTATGTTTTTAAGTTCTTCTCCACGATCCAATCTTCCCTACCAAACTAAGTTCTTTTAGAAACCTTCAATACACAAACCTGCCTATGCCCTACCAAGGGGATGCACATCCTGAAGCCTCAAGGCTTGTCACAGCACCTGAAACCTTGACTGTAGCCATGCAAAGTCCTTCCTCATGTGGTCGCTGAATTTTAACAATTAAGATGAAGGAAGGGGACATTATTAAAAAAAATATGAAAGGAAATCAGGGTAAACGTTTTTAACTTGTTAATTAAATCAAAGTTCTTCTCTGGGCTCAGAAATTCCCAGCTCCCTATTCTCTCATTCTGAATGGAGACTTCTGGAAAACTATTGTGGTTCCAGTTCTACACAAATAGACTATAGAATATATATATATTAAAAAATTAGGATGGGGTGAAGTGGAATGGAGCGGAATGGAATAGAACGGAACTATTCTGGAGGCAAGATTTCTTGCTGAAATGGAATGGAGCGGAATGGAACGGAACAAAACAGAATAGAACTATTCTGGAAGCAAGTCTTCTTGTCCATTTTGCTAAACATTCCTACTTTTAAGCACAATTGAGGAAACAGTCGGAGAATCTGAGTAAGCCACATTAATGTCCTGCAACTGACCCTGTCCAAAATTATTGAGACTTACCTCTGAAAAGGATTGAGGACATTTACTCCAGCCAGGTTGACCACTCCTTCACAGGAAGGGAGGCCTATACGGGAGAGTTCATCCTAGAAACGAAAACACAAACTCAGGGTTTTTCTCAGGTTATTTTTTTTTCCTTTCAAACTTATTTTACTATCTCACCGTAATTAACAGAAGAAAAAGCTGCTGCGTATGCAATAGTATTAGCAATACACGGAAACATCAAATCAATTATTGCTGAAGGAATAAGAGAAAATCTAGAAAAATATTATAAGCAGAACGTTCCAAATATGACAAAAGTCTTCCATCTTGCTCAATTGCAAAAAGAAACCCTAAACCTAATTTAAATCTGACAAACAAATGCATTTTGACAGCCTTCCCAGATAAACCAGACAGGAAACACAATTATGTGACCTAATTATACTTTATTATAAGGCTACATTAACAGAATCTTGCAAATAAGCAGTGCTGTGCCCTAGTGGTGAAGACGCTTGCCTCCCACTCAGAAGGTTGAGAGTTCAAGCCCAGGTAATGCAGATATTTCTCTCCCAGGGCACAAAGAAAAAATATCTGCTAGGAACAAACGCTCAGCTCCATCCAGTCACCCGATTCTACCCCCGAATTAAGGGATTACAAGATCATAAAAAGGGAGTTTATTAATAGAATCTTGCAAAGTCTGAAGGTACAAATCTCTAGCTGACACTTTTAACTGTTTGATCCATTAAGATGGGTCTTTCCTAAGTGGCTCCTGCCTTTCTTATCTGATGGTTTTCTAGGCAATATCTCTTCCCATCCCTGAAGGTTGTTCTCACATATCAACAAACCTTTACTACAAATGAAATGTAATTTCTTCTTCTAAGGTTGTATAATAATCATTTTAGCTAACTCTCCATGGTTGAAAAGTGTACAGTTTTCTATCTTATCCCAAATACTCAGGACAGAAATAGAAAGAAACTCGACAGAAAACGTTACCGAACATGTCCAAAATATACAAGCAATTTTTTGTGGTTGATTTCCAGGTGACATTAATGGATAGTCTCACATTATTTAAAGGAACTCTCCATTGGCAAAAGTTAATTGATTTTACATGTCATCTGCATAGCCACCTTGATTTCTATCTTTTCTTCCCTCTAAATCTCAAATAAAATTTATTTTCTCTCCGCTCCAGTAATGCCAGATTGTCTAAGTCCTTCTCCATCTCTTTGTTCATTATTTGTTTTACTTTCTAAAATTTCCACTTTGTCCTTAATTCATCTAACTTCTCCATTAAGCTGCCCTATAGATTCTTCAGGTTTTTCTGTAACTTTGTCCTCCATCTCTCCTCTTCATCTATACAAACCTTTCCTCCACTGTCACTTCAGAAGAAATTACATTGCAACCGTCCAGGCTGGAATGCATTTAAAAATATCCTTCTAAGTTCCAGCTTGTTTTAAGCCCCTGTCCCTTACCCAAGTTAATCGGTTCTTTCCAGGCTGACGAGAAATAAGGGTGACTTCATGGCCTTGGCTTCTTAGCACCCGGCTTAAGTTTCGGCCAATAAATCCAGTCCCGCCACCTAAATTACATTCAAAAAGAGATGATGGAATAGTGAATGAGACAGTTAAAAACAGCCACAATCCTGTTGAGAAATCATTTCTCAGTTAAACTCATATCCTGCTTTTACTCCAGGAGCTTGTTTTGGCTTACTTGGGAACACATAAGATTGTACTGGAAAAAGATGCACCCTTTAAGTTTCTTTTGCTTAATACTCAATCTAAGTTTCTCAACTGCCCTCCCTTCAAACCAACGTGACTATATTAAATTTATTTTAGATTTTTTATTCATTATTTCTATAAATAACTCAAGACAGTGAACATACCTAATGCTCTTTCCTCCTCTGATTTTCTCCACAGCGACAACCTTTTGAGGTGGGTTGTGCTAACAGAGTGGGACTGGGCCAAAGTCCCCCAAATGGCTTTCATACCTAAGGTGGGACTGGAACTCATAGTCTCCTGGTTTCTAGCCAGATGCCTTCATCACTAGACCAAACTGGCTTAAGTTTAGTTTAACTTTAGTTCATTAAAGCTTATGATCCTCATCTTCAGAGTTTTCAAGGAGATTATCTGTTTCCTAAAATCTGAATATTCCATTCAATAAATCCAAACAGCTTTCTTTTCTTATGGGAAGCGACTCCCTTCCTTAAAAACCCAACAAAGCAAACAAAAAGTTGGGGAAAATTGTTTGGGTCATCCACAAAAAAAGGAATGGAAATGTTGTATTGGGGGAATAAGTTTTTATTATTATTATTATTATTATTATTATTATTATTATTATTATTATTATTATTATTATTATTATTATTATTATTATTATTATTATTCAATTGCTATAGCCACCCATCTCAATCAGTTTACAATTCAAAAAATATATTACAAGTAAAATACTAAAATGTTATAAAACAAAACAATAAATAGAAAAAAATCCAAATTAAATGGATTTTAACCACACAGCCTGGAAACTGGGTTCTTAACACATTCAGCCCAAGTACATAGTTTTTAGGGCCTTACGAAAGGCTAACAGGTTTGGAGCCATTTTAATCTTCAAAGGGAGGATATTCCATAGAGCAGGAGCCACTGCAGAAAAAGCCCATCTTCTAGTATCCACCACCTGACACTCTTTGGTTGGCGTACACTGTACCTACATAGGGTTTGAGAATTTTTTTACTTTTTTTTCTTGAAGGAAGCTTTGGTAAGATTGTCCCAAACGTGCTTTCAGAAAGGTCTTTAATTTTTCTTGAAGATATTTCACTTCTCACCCAAGAAGCTTCTTCGGTTCTGACTAACTGGTGGGGAATGGAGAGGATTTATACAATTTCTTTCCATTTGCCACCAGTTAATTAGAACTGAAGGAGCGTCTTGGATAAGAAGTGAAACATCTTCAAGAAAAATCAAGGAAGTCCAGCTGCCTTTTTGAAAGCAACTTTGGGACAACCATGATGTAAATGACCGAGAGCCTCCATAGACATTCCTAACATTAAAATGATTGGGTGATTGAAGCCAACTACCAGGAACATCTGAAGTCACGGAGCTAGCCATAGGGTTTTTTTTTTGTCACACCTACACATGCCTCAGCCAGTATGATTCTGTTTATTGAACTGACCAGCAGGATAGAGCGAGATTCTTGCAGAAAATGAGAATTTTAAACAGCTTTGGATTCTTAGAGGAAGGAAGGGAAAAGTCAGCCAATGCATTACTAGTGAGCCAGTTTGGTGTGTTGGTTAAGGCATCAGGTTAGAAACCAGGACATCAGAAATCCTGGATTTGTCTTAAGCACAAAGCCAGCTAGGTGACCTTGGACTAGTCATTTTTCTCACAGCCCTAGGAAAGAGGAGACAAGGGCAAGCCACTTCAAGAAAACAAAAAAACTGCCAAGAAAGCTGCAGAGATTCATCCAGGTGGCTGCCAGCAATCAACACTGACTGGAAGGCACAAAATTAAATGAAAAGAACATTATTGACGGGAGAACTCCTGTATTTCTTCTGCAAAGATTAAAAAAAACCCTCCCTTTTCTCTTTGACAGATGCATATTCCACCCTTCCTGGAGGCAGCATCCCTAGCAAGGAAGCAGGTTGAGAAAAGCACCTGTCCCAAACCGAAGGTCGACCTGAACCCTCCCCAAGTCCTTATCCAATGCCTTAATAGTGCACGCTTGAGGAAGATGAAGGAGAGACCAAACCCTTCAACTCCTCGGACGGGACCCGCATTCCTCAAAGAGGAATCTCCCGTTCACCCTTTGCACGTATGTCGCGTGTTGACCGCAGTTCAAGGTGGCGATAATCTTGCACCCTTAATTGCAATTGCAAAAAAAAAAAAAACCTAGAGCAACCCCGCAGCGAAGAAAACAGCCGTTCCTCCCCATTGCAAAGGGGCGCTCCTCGGCTCTTAAAGCGAGAGCGACCACCACTCACCGATTAAGACTCTCATGGTTTAAGCGACTCCGAGCGCATGCGCAGGAAGCCTCCGAATCAGCGAGACGAGTCGAAGTGAGGCACAGACCGGCCTTCCGGGAGGACCGTGGCGCTTCACCGGAAATAAACTGAGAGAGGGAAGGGGTGTCTCTCTAGCTTTAATCCTCTCTGACGAAACTCTTCAGCGGGAGAAATTGGAGCAGAGGAGACTTAAGAATTCAGAAACGGCCTTGACTATTCCTTTCCATAGGAAGAGAGCGAGGGACGTAGCGTGCTCGTGACGTCATCAGACGTGGGCCGTGTGGCGCAGAGCCGTGACGAAAAAACCGGAGGCAGCTGCTGCAGCTTTTCGAACCGTGAGTGTAAACGAGGCGCTTTTCCCCCCCTAGGGCTTTGCGGGTGGACTACAATTCCCACGCTTCCCGGCCTTGTTAGGATTGGGGTTTTGTTGTGACTTAGAAGCGAGGAAAAAAATTCCCTCCTGGGCTTCGCGTTACTTACTTAACCTCTCAAAAGGCTGAAGCTGCCACCTCTCTCGCACAGCCTTCCTACTCTTCAGGGACTACAACTCCCAGGCTTCCCAGCAAGGACAACTACTGATAATGGTTAGGGATCCTGGCTGCTGCAGTCCCCGAGACCTCATAGAGCAGTGTTTCTCAACCTTGACAATGTTAAGGCATGTGGACTTCAACTCCCAGAATTCCACAGCCAGCAATGCTGGCTGTGGAATTCTGGGAGTTGAAGTCCACATGCCTTAAAATGGTCAAGGTTGAGAAACACTGTCATAGAGGTTGGAGAAAAGGGATTTATGGCCAGGCATTATAGTTGCAGGGACTGCAGGATCGTAAAAAAAAGGAGTTTTTATTACAGTTGTGAGACAATAATCTGCTCTTCTGGGGGTCAACTTCACCCCACATTGGGAAGGAGCACAATGGCTTGCCTCCAGAAGTTGGTGCTCCAACACTGGAAGTTTTTAAGAAGAGATTGGACAGCCACTTGTCTGAAATGGTATAGGCCAGGGTTTCCTGCCTGAGCAGGGGGTTGGACTAGTCCAGGGCTTTTCAACCAGTGGTACAGGTACCACCTGTGGTACATTGGCACCTGGCAGGTGGTACGCGACCATCCTAGAAAAGTGGTAGTCAGGGAGGGGAATGAGCTGAATTGGTGGCAGCACCACACAAGCCTGAGCGAGAGATGGCTGGACCTGCAGGGCTGTCAGGGCTCAGCAGAAGTGCCAGGATCAGTGGTGCTTTCCAGCTGATTGGTGCTTCTTCAGGGCTCAGCGGAAGCGCCAGGATCAGTGCCAGGCTCCAGTTGGAGCTCGGCGCTGATCCTGGTGCTTCTGCTGAGCCCTGAAGAAGCACCAATCAGCTGGAAAGCACCACTGATCCTGGCGCTTCTGTTGAGCCCAGAAGAAGCGCCGATCAGCAGGAATGTTGCAGCCTCTCCAGGGTCTTGTGATTTACATTCAGATGCTTGGCAACTGATTCATATTTATGACGGTCACAGTGTCCCAGGGTCATGTGAAGTGACCAAAACCTGGTGCAACCACCCAGCAGACGGGGGGAATAAAAACCAAACACCCTCCCACCCCACCCCCACTGCCAATCCTCAACAGAAATGCTCACAACAATGGAAACCTCGGACAGGAGGAAGAGTGCCGCCGGGTGGGCAGGCAGGTGTCTTGCTCGGCTGTGGCTTGGGGGGCACTTTTTTCAGTGCCATTGTAACTTCAAACAGTCACTAAGCAAACTGTTGTAATTCAAGGACTACCAGTATATCACTTTTTTCCTTTTTTTTTTTTTTTTTTTTTTGGTCATCAAGTTTTTGACACCTTGCTAGGCGACTGGTGGTACTCGGATGTTGCCATATCCTAAAAGTGGTACAATGGGTGAAAAGGTTGAAAAGCCCTGGACTAGAAAACCTCCAAGGCCCCTTCCAACTCTGTTATTCTGTTGTTCTTTTTTTATCTTCCTCTCTTCAGGCTACTGCATGGTAGCAGAGGAAGCACCATCTTATATGAGAGAGGAAATTAGAGACACCGATATTCAGAATCTCCCATTTCTGTGCAGAAGCTGTGTCACCTTGTGCAATGAACAATTCCCTTTTATGACTCTCCCAGATACACTTGAAAACGCTTCATTTTATGAGTTTCAATGTAGACATGGTTACATAAATGCCATTTTATGCTTTACTTATGTTTGGAAATTTAACATTTTTGCCTGTATTAATCTCTAATATGTACATGCTTTAGTTGACAAAAATCACTCTGCTTCAGATTTAGAGATAAATATCCTATGTCCAAGACTGCAAGAAGTACATTTTCAGCATAATTCAGCAGTGTACTTCAAAAACTCTAAATGTTTCTGATAAATGATAAGCAAATGCTTTTCCTAAGAAATAGACACAGGGCAATTTTTTTTTAATATAGACCTACAGCCCTCAGTATATTATGCTGATTATGTACCATGGAGATAGATTCAAGTGCATGTTTGATGATATAGCAGCTATACTATCAACCATGCACTTGAATCTATCTCCATGATAAATACTATACTATAGCTCAAATGGGCTAAGGAAGAGGAGCAGGGAAACGAATCAGAGGGATAATGAATAAGAAAGTCCATATAGAGAATGGTAAGGACAGCCGAGAAGATCATAGGATGCTTGCTTCCTGGTGTTCAGGATGCTGCTTATAAGTGCTCAGATGTGCTTAGAGCTCAAAGCATTGTTAGAGATCCCACATACCCACTTTAGGGTCTGTTTCTGTTGATCCCCTCTGGGAGGAGGTTTCGAAGTATTTCTAGCAGGATTACCCAATTCTGTAATAGCTTTGTTCCCTATGTTACCCGTCTGGTAAACTCGCAAAATTAATTTTTCTTGTCATGCTCATGTATACATAACCCGAAATAGACTATTGTTTCTCTGTGTCATATAATATATGTGAGTATATAATAATAATAATAATAATAATAATAATAACAGTAGTAGTAGTAGTAGTAGTAGTAGTAATAATAATAGTAATAATAATAGTAATAATAGTAATAATAATAGTAATAGTAAAGTTGGAAGGGACCTTGGAGGTCATCTAGTCCAACCCCCTGATCAGGCAGGAAACCCTATACCATTTCAGACAAATGGCTGTCCAGTCTCTTCTTAAAAACTTCCAGTGTTGGAGCATTCACCGCTTCTGGAGGCAGGTTGTTCCACTGGTTAATTGTTCTAACTGTCAGGAAGTTTCTCCTTAGTTCTAGGTTGCTTCTTTCCTTGATTAGTTTCCACCCGTTGCTTCTTGTCCTGCCTTCAGGCGCCTTGGAGAATAGCTTGACTCCCTCTTCTTTGTGGCAGCCCCTGAGATATTGGAACACTGCTATCATGTCCCCCCTCGTCCTTCTCTTCATTAAACTAGACATACCCAATTCCAGCAGCCGTTCCTTATATGCTTTAGCCTCCAGTCCCCTGATCATCTTTGTTGCTCTTCTCTGTACTCTTTCTAGAGTCTCAACATCTTTTTTACCAAAACTGGATGCAGTATTCCAAGTGTGGCCTTACCAAGGCATTGTAAAGTGGTATTAACACTTCACGTGATCTTGATTCTGTATTTATTTATTTATGCATGATTCTGTATTTATTTATTTTTGTCATATTTATGTAGTGTATATTGGAGGTGGTGAACCTTTGAGAGTTGTATGCAACGAAATTTCATTTTAACGTATGTTGATTAGTGTACATTCAAAGTGACAAAGTTGCTATTCTATTCTATTCTAAAGTAGGTGAGGAAGAGCAAGAACTGGATATCATAAGAGTAATAGGAAGATGCTAGAATGGCTATTATAGGAAGTGTCAAAAGAGTTGCCATGTTGCAGGGTGTGTGGGTGGAATTAAAGTTCCAAATGAAGTCTGGAGAGAGTTAGAGCTGGGTAATCTTGGGCCAATCATTCTCTCTCTGAGCCCCAAAGGGTTGTTATGGAGAAAATAGGAGGGAGAAGGGGTATTCGATATTGAGTTTATATATAAAAAAATAAAGGTGGGATATAAATAATGAATCAATAGAATATTGTGCGGGGAGGGTAGTTACTTATGGTTTAAGAGAAAATGTTGGTGACACTGCTATACCCAAGAGTTTATGTGAACTGTCAGCTGCTTAGATGATCTGTGATAATCATGAAACCAAGAGCTTCCTCTGTTTGGTCCCCAGCTTCCATTGCAATGTTTAGCTGGCTAGAGACATTATAATACCTGTTGAAAGGAATGGAGGCAATGATGCAAGAGGAAGCTTGCAGTTTCTTCAGGATTGTGGGATGTGTGACCAAACGGGTCAGGCTGCTCACTTCTTTAATATTTGAGAATCTTATTTAGAGTGTGCATTATCTCTTTTACAGGCAACAATGAGCACCGGAGGGGGATTGGTGACCAATCGTGGACGACGTTTCAAGTGGGCCATTGAATTGAGCGGTCCAGGCAGCGGTGGTAGGTAAGTGCCTGGGAAAAGCCCTGTGTGTGTCTCCTCACACAAGCAATCCACAAATGTTGGGCATGGGCATTTGGATGAGGAATTTCTTTTCTTTGCCAGAGGCCGAAGTGACCGTGGCAGCAGCCAAGGAGACACCCTCTACCCTATAGGCTATTCAGATAAGCAAGTGCCTGACACAAGCGTTCAGGAGACAGATCGCATCCTGGTTGAAAAGGTAATGTCCTGGAGAGAAAATGGATGAGTTGGGTAGTAGAAATGCTGTAGCTGTTCAAAATGTAGAACTAGACCAGGGGTAGGCAACCTTGGCTCTTTTATGACTCGTAGACTTCAACTTCCAGAATTCCTGAGCCAGCCGTGCTGGCTCAGGA